CAGTTCCCTTTGAAAGGGAAAAAGTGCTTCCTTACTTGGCTTACGGAAAGGAGAGCGGTTTGGTTCAAAAGTGAGTGGCAATTTTTTCCATACAGCTGTGGGCCTGTTTAAGAGCAACAGGCAGCTTGTGGCTGAGTGGACTCCCTCTTGCCAGTTCATCTCCACCTGGGAGAGTTCCCCTTTTTTGTGGAGGTTGAAACAACTTTCTCAGACACAGTTATCCAGGAGAGGAGAAGTATTCTCATGCTCAGCTGCACTATATCTGCTCTGGCGGACATCTGAAGATCTGACAGAAGCCTTGTAGTTTCTTGCGGTCTTCAAGCATAATCTTAAAAGGCATGTAAGTGTCCAGGAAATGTAAGAGCCTGAGGAATACTTTGCACTCTTACTGTGAACTTGGGGTGTTTTCTTATTCTATCATTGCACTTGACAGCAGATTACTGAGCAGTGCTGAAAATGGACGCAGGGATGGGTGGCGTTTCTAAGGAAAGAAGCAATGGCAGCTTTAAGTTGTGCCAAGGAGTGACTTTGGCTGCTAAAATACTCACTGACCACCTGGTGAGCCGTTTGCTCCCACACACGAATTCTGCTCTGGTCTTGAAAGCAGGATAGGAACCGCCCCTTCCTTTTTCCTCTTTTCAGTGATCATCATCACTGTCGCCGTCATCAGCAGCAACAGCAGCATTGCCATAGTCATTACCGTTATTACCATCCAGTTATTTCCACTAACACTGACCCGCAAGATCACACAGTGACAAACCAGATGAAAGCCCTTTCATTCAATGAGCTTGAATCTACAATGGGAAAGGAGTCTCTCAGGCTAACTACTGGTTTTTCAATACCTTGATAATCAAATGAATCATTTCTCCAGGAAAGATTAAGCCTACTTGATAGTAACCATTTTCTAAATGACATGATGATGTTGTGAGGAAAACAAATTTAGGGTTCTGTATGTGTGTCTGTGTGTGTGTGTGTCTGTGTGTGTGCGTGTGTGTGTCTGTGTGTGTGCGTGTGTGTCTGTGTGTGTGTGTCTGTGTGCGTGTGTGTGTGTGTCTGTGTGTGTGTGTCTGTGTCTGTGTGTGTGTCTGTGTCTGTGTGTCTGTGTGTGTTTATGTCTATGTGTGTGTCTGTGTGTCTGTGTGTGTCTGTCTGTGTGTGTGTGTCTGTGTGTGTTTGTGTGTGTGTGTGTGTGTGTGTGTGTGTGTGTGTGTGAGAGAGAGAGAGAAGAAACAGAGACAGAATAGACATTGGGATTTGCAGTGTGTAGGTGAATGCCTTTTCTCTCTTTCTCCCTGTCTCTCTTTCTGCCTGTGTTTCTCTCTGTCTCTCTTTCTCCCTATCTCTCTCTCTCTCTTTCTCCCTGTCTCTCTTTCTGTCTGTCTCTCTCTCTCTCACTATATGCAACCCTGTTCTAGAGCAAGAGCGGTTACACACCAATGCTCCGAAGTTCTGTGAACCTTAACATTTTCTTCAACCACAAAAAACAATTGCTGAAGCAAACAGGATCTCAGAAAGGCAGTTTAAAACATACACTGTGAGCCTGACTCACTGACTCATTGTTTTCTTCCCAGATCTTTACGGTGTTCATATATCTAAGTGAATTTATATATACTTTTAAGCAAATGAACCTAAATTCTAAATCCGTGTAAACTCTAGGGAAAAGGGATCTTAAAAATGTGTCAATTGCAAGGAAATATGGTTGCCCTAATAACAAGCTTCTGGGCATTTTCCTTTTTTTTATGTTACAGAAAACTCGTTGTATCAAAAGCTTTCTGCTTAGGCACGTTAAGTGAGCTGAAAGCATGGGGGAATCCTACAACAAGCATGTTCTTTGATAGGTAGATACATCGTTATGAAGAAAAGACTTGGTAGTAGAATGCCCAGAGAATGTGTAATCAGTCCTCTTGTTTCAAATGAAGAATGAGGCTCAGAGAGGATAAATGACTTCCCCAAGACCCTTCAGCTGTACCACGGCAGGGGCAAGGATACCACTCAGGCTCCTAACAACTTGTTCAGTGCTCTATGCACCATATTAAACCTCTGAAAAGTTATTTCTAAGCTGAAGTTCCATAAATAAGTCCTATTTTGAATCTGAGGTTAACCAGACACTTGAAAAATGGTCGCTATTCAATAAACCCATTTTGTAACTACACAGTAGGGACTAATATGTATTGTGCACTGACCATGGTTCTAAATGCTTTCCCTGTCATAGCACGTAATCCACACATAGCCATATGAGGTTTGGACTCCATTTTATAAGTGAGTACACTGAGGCACAGAGAGATTAGGTAACCTGCTTAAGCTCACAGGTGAATTGATTGGCAAAGCCCAGACAGTGCAATTGCAGAGCTGAAGCTCTTGGCTGTTGCCCTACACGGAGCTGCTTAAAAGGAGGCACCAGCTGGACTTGCTTTCACATAAATTGCCAAACATGAGCCACGGCTCTGAAAACTGAATAAAAATACACTGGATGTTGGCCTTGCGAGGATTTTCTCTTTAATCTTTAGGGATTAAGTTAAATGAGATGATCAGTTTGGAAAGGATAAAGCATACTACATTGAAGTGCAATGTAAATATTATGAATCTACTGCGAAGACAATTGTACAAAAATAGGTGTTACTGTCCCCCTTCACCATCAAGTAGACCAAAGTCAGCTTGCGTGGGGACCACCAGGCACAACCAGAATTTAAGTCTGAATCTCATTGGACTCTCGACTTATCTCTACAGTATGGTTACTGAGGTTGCAGTCATCAGCTCGGTAATGATGAACGCTCTGGAGGGAGAACACAGAGGTTCATCCAGCCCTGCTTGCTCTGAAGTCTTCCCTTGAGGATGCGGCCACACGTAATCCGGAGTGCAGCGCATCAGCCTATAGAGGGCGCTCTGAAGCATCATAGCCAGATGTAAAAGAGCAAAATCCCCTTCAGCCAAGAACTGTGGGCTGAGTGTTTTGAAATGCCATTCCTGAAGGGAGGGGTGGGTGAGTGATTCCCAAATTTTCTGTTCTAAGCATATCTTCATAGTTGTGAGCATTTTTCAAATTCTAAAAAGAGTATCTAAGCATAAATTTCCTCTTTAAGATGTTTCCTGCCGGGCACAGAGGCTCATGCCTGTAATCCCAGCACTTTGGGAGGCCGAGGTGGGTGGATCACAAGGTCAGGAGTTCGAGACTAGCCTGGTCAATATGGTGAAACCCGTCTCCACTAAAAATACAAAAATTAGCTGGATGTGGTGGCAGGTGTCTTTAGTCCCAGCTACTTGGGAGGCTGAGGCAGGAGAATCACTTGAACCTGGGAGGTGGAGGTTGCAGTGAGCCGAGATGGCGCCACTGTACTCCAGCCTGGGCAACTGAGAACTGAGCAAGATTCTGTTACAAAAAAAAAAAAAAAAAAGTTTCCTTTTTAAGGAAACACCTTTAAGAAGTGAAAGCTGACGAACGCGGCCTAAGATCAAACTTCAAGGTATTGGTGGCTCTAAATGCCTGCCATCAAAGTAAGGCCACAGATTGATAATTTGGTAAACAGCAGCAAAGCTCAAGTCGATATTCTTCTATTCTTCAAACTGGTTAAGTTGTGATAAAAACCAAACCCAACTTATGATTTTAAATATTTCTGTAGCAGAGCAACATAGCAGAAAGACAACATCAAAATATGAACAATGATTACATTCCACATGACTAGATTACAAGGGATTCTTTGCGACGCTCTGATTTGTGGTCAGCAAACTTGTATTGCTTGGGTAGTTACACATACACAAAAACCTTACTACTGCTCCTTTTAAAAAATTACTGAATCGAGATTTTTAAAAAATTACCAGACTTAGTTTCTTGAGGAAAGTAACCAAATTCATGAGATTCTTGAGTCCAGATTTCCTTTTCTTAGGCAGCTCCCAATTCTAGAAAAGCTTTTGCCTATAGCCCAATCTCACAGCCAGAATTTGAACAAATCATCTGTTGATGACTAGATCAGCCCTGCAAAATCACAACATTTACAGTGAAATTCCAGTGCATAGGTCAAGTCATGGAAGAGCAGCAAGATGAGAACAGAAAGCTCAGCAGTGCCAATGGGGGTTGGAAGCTTCCTGGGCTCCAGCTTCCCTACTTGAAAGTGAAGGAAATGGGAAAAGGGAATGGAAGGTTGGAGTGCCAAGAATGTGTGAAGGAGAGTAAGAGAGAAGGACCCAGGCCGGGCGTGGTGGCTCATGCCTGTATCCCAGCACTTTGGGGGCCAAGGAGGGTGGATCACCTGAAGTCAGGAGTTCAAGACCAGCCTGGCCAACATGGCAAAAACCCATTTCTACTAAAAATACAAAAGTTAGCTGGGCATGGTGGCCAGTGCTTGTAGTTCCAGCTACTCAGGAGGCTGAAGAAGGAGAATCACTGAGCCTGGGAGGTGGAGGTTGCAGTGAGCCGAGATGGCACCAGTGCGCTCTAGCCTTGGTGACTGAGCAAGACTCTGTCTCAAAAAAAAAAAAAAAAAAAAAAGAAAAGGAAAAAAAATGGGAGAAGGACGTAGACAGAGAGAGAGAGAGAGAGAGAGAGAGAGAGAGAGATACAGACAGATGGAGAGAGAGAAGTGCAAATCAAAGCAACGTGATACCATGGAAAACCACTCGTGGTCCATTGTCCAACTTCTACCCTGGCAGCCCTGCTGTGCTTAAAGCACTGTGTCAGGCTTCCCTTAAGGTGTTAAAGATACAGCATAGAAGGGAGACAAGGCAAAGAATTTAGTACTGTTTTCCAGCCTAAACTAAACCTTTATTTTAGTCATGACTTTAAAAAACGTATTCGTGGGAATGACTCAACTCCCTTGTTCCCCCTCTTGCCTTGTGCATTCCTTCAGTGCCTAAGTTGATATTTGCAGCCACTGTCTCACTCAGGATGCTTCGTTTTTATCATTTCAAAATACTCAAGTCCTTGCACAAGCTGGGCAAAAGTGTCCAGTGGCGTCAAAAGAAAGCAAAGCAGATCAGAAAGGCTCCTGCCAGAAAGATGTGTTTACCTTCACCAAAAACATCATCCTCTTCATGGGCCAGGAGCTCCTCAGCGTCAAGAAACTGCATCTTGAGGAAGACGGGAGCGAGAGGCAGCAGGCAGCAGCCTGGCGGTCCCAGCGGCCACACTGCCACCCGAGGCGGCTTCCTGTCCTCGGGTTGCCTAAGCCCTCTGGAGGGCAGCTTCCGCATCTGCCCTGAAGAAAGCAGTTTCATTCATGTGAATAGGCTTCTTGAGCCTTTTGAAGAGTGAATCCCAGGTGGGGTAATTCTCACCACTGAGGAGAAAGGATTTTTTGAAGGGGGCTGCAGATCCGGTTGGATCTGAATATAGACATCACTCAAAGTCTGAGTGCAGTGAATTCTGTTTCAAAGCAACAACTTTCATATTTCCTTAAAGACGAAGGTGGATGCTTAACTTTCTTGCTAATGAATTTGAACACAATGGGTCGTGTTGAAAGAGGGAGTGCACATTTCTCACAGCTTGGTTTTGCTTCAAGGACAGTTTATCTGAAAGTAAAGCAAGCCACGGTGTTAAAGCAAAGCAGGCACTGAGAGGACGGAGCTTTCATTTTGCTCAGTAATAGGTGTGTTTTTCTTTTTCTTTTTTTTCAAGCCTCTTGCATTTAAAGATTGGAAACGTTACAGCGTTTAAACCAAATTGAACCATATCTAGGCTTTCTGTGGCTCGGTTAAATCTGTAGTCAATGACTAGATTACTGGTTTTCGTCAGGCAACTTACATTTCACAGTCTGTACTCAGTTTGATACTTCAGACTGTACCACTAAAGAAGCAAGAAGAAAATTCACTCAAAAAGCAGCTCCTCCCAGCGGGATGAGTAACCCCTGGGCTTCTCCGTGAGTGCCACTGGCTGGCATCACCATGAAGAGCTACCTAATGTGTGCCAAATTCTGTGCATATACAAACAAACACACTTCTCTCTGAGTTCCACTGAGACTTCATTTTGGGGTTTCCCAGACCTCTGCACTACGTCGTAAGATCTCTCAGGTGGCCAGAAGATCAGAAAATGCAAATGGAGAGGACAGCAAGAAGCTGTTGACCCAGGGTGTTTATTTTGGGCACTTTATTTACTGCATGGTTTTGAAGATACTCCAGTGTTACCCTAGAGAAACTGTCTCCGCCTCCTGCAACTGCAACCTTAAAATTGCACCAGTTTCTCCCAGAAGAGAGTATGGACAACAGGACTGGAGAAATCCAGCAGTGAGAGGGTATCACCCAGAGGAATTCAGGAATCAGACGCTAAGGGTTAGCTGAGCGGCGACAGTCTGTTCATCCCTGCACCGGTGGCTGCCGCAGTTCCCAATACAGCTTGGGTCCTGCTGGGGTCACCAATCACTGTCAATCAGGGCTGCGGCCATCCTTAAAGGACAGCTTGGAAATGTCTGGGGTGTTTTGGGTGGCACAGTGACTGGGGTTATTACTGGTATTTAATGTCTTAGCACTCAAGGGCCCAGGGATGACAATCTTACTGTAATGCCTGGAACAGTGGCTCAAGAGGAAGAACTGCCCACCTCCAGATACCAATAATGTCCACCTTGAGACATACAGAGACGCCGGGAGCTGGACTTACCCTTTTCTCTAGCTCTCCTTTGCATCTCCCCTTCCTGACCCTTCTACCACCCCCTACCCTGATCCCCACTTGAATGATGTTTCTGGCCAAGGGTTGCACTGCGTTACGTAAATTAAAGCAATTAAAATGGGCCTAGGTGTAGGAGATGTGGACGTGGACTAGAGCTCCCTTTTGCGTGGTTGGGGTAAGAGGAGGGCATCCATTGTGACAATCACTACATTTCTCAACTACCGTCCTGTGTCCTTTAATCTTCACGATTTCATCAGGTGGGTGCGATCATCCCATTTTACGGATGAAGCCATAGGGGCTCTGAGAGCTTGAACCACATTCCTAAGATCAGGCAGCAGGTGAGTGGCAGGTTTGACTAACTGCAGAGCTCACTGTTACCTCTCGTCTGGATGACTTTATGGGAGTGGCTGCACCAGTCCGGGTCACTGCAGCATCCCAGTGGCTCTTGGGGACCTGTGCTACCTCCCTTACGTCCCCCCGCAGAACTACCTGGTTACCGTGTGAACCTGGGGGCCCCAGCCATTCCACTTCAAAAAGTTGGCATAACCTCTCTAGGCCTATTTCATTATCTTAACTGGGTGGAATTGGGTCAACCCTACTGAATTCATATGTTGAAGTCCTAAATGCCAGTACCTCAGAATGTGACCTTATTTAGAAATAGGGTCATTGAAGATACAGTTAGTTAAGATGAACTGATATCGTATCGGAGGAAGATGAGTTCTTTATCCAAGATGACTAGTTTCCTCATAAAAAGGAGAGATTTAGAGAAAGACATATACACAGGGAGGATGGTATGTGAAGATGAAGGCAGAGATCCACAGGCCACGGAACACCAGAGCTGGCCAGTAAACCACCGGAAGCTGGGGGGAGGTCTGCAGGAGAGTCTCCCTCACATCCCTGGGAAGAACCAGTTGTGCCAACACCTGGACCTCGGACTTGTAGCCTCCACAACTGTGATGCAGTAAGTTCCTGTCGCTTAGGCCACATAGTTTGTGGTCCTTTGTTACAGCAGTCCTAGAAAACTAATACACTTTCTCATTTGGCTTGTTCTGAGGATGAAGTAGGATAATTTATGTAAAGGAACTGACACAGCACATGGTACACAGTAAATACCCAGTTATAATTGTCCACCTAAATCTCTCACAGGGAAGCTTAGGACATTTCCTTAATTGGAGCCTTAATGGGGTTAGAGAATGAGAAGTCACCACGCTTTGTACAAAACCTCAATAACCGTTAAGAAGTTTCCCTCAATCTCCTCTTCTCCAATTCAGATATCTCGAAAACACAGCTAACCATCTCAAAGAACAAATCACAGATGCCACCAAGAACTCCTTGAAAGCAGAGACCATAGAAAACATGGTCCTTGCTCTCCAAAGTTTACAATTACCTTAGAGAGATATGACATACATACATACATAATGTGTTAACTAAAAAGAAAAACTAATAAATCACAGATACATGCCTCAATATGAATGAATTTCAAAAACGTAATATTGAATTTAAAAAGTCTCAGAAAATTATAAATAGTATGATTATATTTATATGTATGTCTAAAATGAGCAAATAAAAAAAATAACTGCTAACACTTACAGGCTGCCAGCAACAGTTCCAAGTGCCTTGATCGACTTACTTCTTCTATCAACCCTAAGATATAGATATACTTATTATCCCCATTTAATCTAAGGCCCAAGAGGTGAAGCAATCTGCCTGAGGTCATGCACTGATAAGTGGTAGAGGTACTGAGATTTGATCCAGGACCCAGAGTCCAAACTCCTAAACACCAGGCTATAGTATCTCTTATCTTAAAGGATAAGAGAATGCTGAACTTCTAGACCATTTTAACAAAGGGCAATAAATTGTGAAGAAGTGACTAAACAAAGGAGGCAGAGCAGGGGAGTGGGCTCCTGAGCGTGGTGAGTTGTGGGGAGGTAACTAGGAATGTATGCTAGCTAAGGATTAGTATGCAGATTCATCTCTCATACCAGGAAGAGGACCATGACTCTTCGTCACCCTAGTTGGGGGAATGAAACACCTTTATGAGTGGCAATTTATGGCACTTAAAGCAGAAAGGGGAAGGGCAGAAGAGTCTTTCTCAAAAATAGTTCAAAATAGTACCTATGCTAAAGTAGCATATTTTGGAGGACACATTCTGACCCCCTTCAAATCCATATTAGAAAAGAAAGACTGAAGCTAGGGAATCTCGGTGCTTAATTAAGAGTAGTTTTCATTAGGAAATGAGGAATGAGTCTGGAACAACAATGAAAGAATCTCGCTTCTCAGTGATTGAGGCAGACAGCTCCAATCATTGGATCTGGGGAAGAGGACAAAAGTATAGATGAAACAGTGTAAGCAGTTCCTTTGACAAAATGCTGATGTGTGACAACCTGTGCTAAGTTTAACAGCAGAATTTCATCAAGGCCATAAGCACAGGAACATAGCAAAGCTTTTATACTGTAAACAGTTGGTGCCCACTTTATGCCATACTAGGTCTGTGAATTACAAAGACATGCAAGATCTGGTCCTTGCTTTGTGGAACTTTACTCACTCTTGTGTTCATTCGTCTGGAGAATAATAATGCATACCTACTGTATTTCAGGTACAGTGGGAAACATTTAAGTAAATTTATAAGTGATGAGGCACATGTTATATTGAACATATGAAAATCAACACAGTATTATTATTTTGTGTTATGAGAATTGAGGCTATAATAAGGATTTATTTATTAATTTAAAATATTCCTGCATAGTTTGATGTTTTGAAAAAAACCACTGTCTGTGAAGCATGTAAAGGAGGAAGCCATGCTAGTGGAAAATTTCGTCATCCAGCGTGGGCTTTTATTCCAGCAGAAGAACTTCACAGTCTGCTCTCTGTGCTTTGGAGAATTTCCCACTCCCTTCAGATAGTGTTTTAAAATACTTAGGTTTCTGATATACACGCTCCTGAACAGGGAGAAAAATCTGAAGTAATTAGGAGCAAAATGTCTGAAACAGAAAGGAGAACACAGTAGGAGAGAGGAATTGAAACAGTGAGGAGTGGTAGGAATCAGGAAGGAAAAAGGTGAAAAAAGCCACAGATTCAGAAATAATCTTATCTTTGGTTAACTTTGCCATTAAAGATGCACCTAAAAATTTGTCTAGCTGTAAAATGGCACATCTAAAGAGCTGGGACTAAAGGAACATGATTTTTTCTTTTTTTTTTTTGAGACAGAGTCTGGCCCTTTCACTAGGCTGGAGTGCAGCGGCTTGACTTCAGCTCACTGCAAGCTCAGCCTCCCGGGTTCACATAACTCTGCTGCAGCCTCCCGAGGGCAGTAGCTGCGATTACAGGCGAGTATCGCCATGACCCGATAATCGTTTTCGTATTTTTAGTAGACATGGGGTTTCACCATGTTGGCCAGGCCAGTTTTGAACTCCTGACCTCAAGTGATCTGCCCCCCTCGGCTTCCCAAAGTGCTGAGATTACAGGCGTGAACCACCGCACCTGGCTGAAACATTATTTTTAATAGTGTTCCTGTTTTCATGTTGCAAAGAGGAGGTACCAGTCTAATGGGTACAATCTCATGAGGGTTGCCTCATGGTAAAAATCCTCCCAGAGGCTTTGGAAGTCTTCCTGCCTGCGTCCCCCATCTTCAGGGGCATCATAGGCTGCAGGAGCCATACTTAGGGTCACTTACTGAAGGTGTTGGGGAAGCCCGACGAAAGCCCAGGACAGTTTCCTTCAATGAGATTAAAGACAATGAGGATAATTGCCCACTGAAGGAATCCACTCCTTCCACTTACAAAAAAAGGGTAAGAACCCAGCAAAGGAGAGTTCCATGGCAAGACTCACATTGGGTATGGTTGGCAAGGTCGTAACCATGGGATAAGGGGTTGATTGCTGGGAGTGGTTAGCTTGCAACTAGAAACAGGAAAAAAAGCATATGAAGGCACTGGTTTTGGGATTTGACTGGGCTGAGCTATAATCTTGGCCTTGTTACCATCTAGCTCTTTGACTAAAGTTGATAATTTCACTTTGAATCTGTAAAACGCAGCAATAATCAATGACTGAGTTAAGGGATGGTTAAGCCCTTTCCGACTAAGTTGCCCCAAATTAAAATATAATCTATATTAATACATTGTGCTAGCAATGCAAACACGACTTCAAGACCCTGTCCCTAGTCCCTGGCCTTACCCTCTGTCTCAACCAGAATGTAATCATAAAGCCTCTCCAATAAAGAAATCCTGTAACTGCCACTGATAATAACATTTACCTCTCAGGGTTTGGTGACCTTAATGAAGGTGGGAATCCTTTCCTGTGGCCCTAACATTGACTTTAAAAGCATTTTCAGGGATCACTAAACAGTCTGCCCCTCCTCCCCTTTTTTTAACCTCAAGACAAATTTCTCAGTATGGGAGCTACTGAAAGTGACAGAAGGGGTGGAGAAAACGTACACAGGAAAAGAAACTTGTAAGAAGGTAGAAAGAAACAGCCTTCCATGTCTGTGAGAGATGTGGGGAGAGTTTAGGGAGAATTACAGTCCTCCCTCTCAGAACGTGACCCTAGACCCAAGAGCACCCCTGTCCACAAAAAGAGCGCCAGATGAGAAGGTGTAACTTTCTCAGCTTTCAAAGAAAGGTGGACATGTATTTATTGTTCGTAACAATAAATACATTTGTACTGTCTTTTATGTTTACTTATGTTTAGCTGCATAAGTTAAACATACGTAAGCATACTCTCTTTTATGTTCACTTATGCAGTTAAACATAAGTAGACATAAAAGACAGTTGCAGAAAATAATTATACATCTGTGTTGATGGCATGTAATACATAAGGGAGTAATTTGTATGACAGTAACAGCACAGAGGAGAATGAGTGAAGTAACAGAGGATAAAAGATTTTATATTCTCTTGAAAGTAAGGTAATATTAATCAAAACTGGGTTGCTATAAATCAAGATGTTAATTGTAATCCCCAAGGCAATCATTAGAAAAGAAATTAAAAGTATAGTAAGAGAACCAACAGAAAAATTAAAATTATACACTAAAAAGTGTCAATTTAACACAAATAATTCAGTGATACCTCTGTAAAAAATTTCTTTTATTCTCATTTTTTTAAGTGAACTTGGCTTCTTAGTGCTTGCACCTATATATATAAAATACAAGAATATAAAACAAATTCCTGTCTCACTGTAGCAAAGTAATATTCATTCATAGATGAAGGAGCTCATTGAAAGAAAGTCAGCCTCCTTCATCTCATTAAGAGATACATTTCTAATAAAATTTTGATTTCATGCTGGAAGATATTTATTTTCAATTAATTTTTTTTATTTTTTTTTGGGGGGATGGAGTCCTGCTCTGTTGCCCAGGCTGAAGTGCAGTGGCATGATCTCAGCTCAGTGCAACCTGAACCTCCTGAATTCAAGCAATTCTCCTACCTCAGACTCCCGAGTAGCTGGGATTACAGATGTCCACCACCACGCCTGGTTAATTTTTATATTTTTAGTAGTGACGAAGTTTCACCATGTTGGCCAGGCTGGTCTCAAACTCTAGACCTCAGGTGATCTACCCACCTCAGCCTCCCAAAGTGCTGGGATTATAGGGGTGAGCCACCGTCCCCAGCCCGATAATTATTTATTAAAATGTGTAATATAATTATGTTGTTTCAATCATTTGGTATATTAATAATTATAATGATAACTCTGGAGAAAATTTTTAATACTTAAAACCACTTAGTTGCGGAAAAATAAAAAATATATACATATTATTTTCCTAGAGAAATATGACAAAATACTCAGAAAAGTCTTCCAAGTATAATTAATAACATTATGAGAAGGCATATTGCCCCAAACCTGTGCCAAAGTAGAATTTTTTTTTGAGGTGGACTCTCGCTCTGTGGTCCAAGTTAGAGTGCAGTGACACGATCTTGGCTTACTGCAAACTCCGCCTGCCAGGTTCAAGCAATTCTTTTGCCTCAGCATCCTGAATAGCTAGGATTACAGACATGTGCGACCACACCTGGCTAATTTTTGTATTTTTGAAACAGGGTTTCCCCATGTTGGCCAGGCTGGTTTCTAACTCCCAACGACAAATGATTCGCCCACCTCGGTCTCCCCAAGTACTGGAATTACAGGCATGCGCCACCGTGCCCGGGCTAAAGTAGAACGCTTTGGTATGGTGGTATATCAGTGCCTCCTGGGATATATCTAGCATTCCTCATAAAATGTATCTAGCATTCCTAAAAAATTCCTATCAATTGTCTGATTTTAATGAGATTATTAGAGCCCTTCTGGAATGGTGATTTATTTTACTTGCCTAATTTTTGGTCTTATGTTGAGTTTAATGGTCTTGAACTAAAAAAATTTTTTTAAGTCTAGTAACTTAATGAGTTTTTTAATTAAGTGTTTATATCGATGCATAATATTTATGACAGCTCTCTCAGGAGTCTTTCTCTTGTGACAAGTTTGAAATAAAACTTTGTGAATGTATCTGAGAAGTTGCCTTAACAATTAGGATAAAATTCTGAGGGAGAAATGAAATGGAAATATGGATTCAGCAAGAAAAAGGAATAATGTAAATTTCCAAATCTCAACAAGAATGCTTATGTGTTTCGTACATGGACAACGGTGATATCTCTACATATTACTCCATAAAGTACATCCTTTGTAACCTTTAAAACATGATAAGTGGTTTCCAATGCTTGAGGGTATGTAGTTTTTCAGAATCTACTTTGGGCTTTAAAAATGAGACAGTTGGCCGGACTCGGTGGCTCACACCTGTAATCCCAGCACTTTGGAAGGCTGGGGCACGTGGATTGCCTAAGATCGGGTGCTCAAAACTAGCTTGGCTAGCCTGTTGAAACCCCGTCTCTACTAAAAATACAAAAATTAGCTGGGCATGGTGGCAGGCACCTGTAATCTCAGCTACTTGGGAGGCTGAGGCAGGAGAATCATCGGAACCCGGGAGGCAGAGTTTGCAGTAAGCGAAGATCGTGCCATTGCACTCCAGCCTGGGCAGCAGAGAAAGAGTCCATCTCAAAAAAATGAAAAGACGTGGTTAAAGACCACTGGTGCAGATCTCACATTGAGCAGAGTAGGACCTCAGCAGGACCTGTAGGGCAGGGACTGGGGTCAGGGTATTCCTGGATGAGCCAAAAGGAATAGGTGCCCCAGGGCTCTGGGTCCTGCAGGAGGCAGGCCTCGTAGTGCTATCCCTTCGCATATACTAGCTCTGTGGGCTGGGACCCAGTGTCTCCTGACCTGTTTCTTTTTGGCCTCCGAATTTCTTGTCCTCAGAGAAAGAATAAAACAAGGATTTAGAATTCGGGACTTGTTAAGTTGATTTTGGCCAAGTGTTTTTGAAAACTCTTCCGGGTGTGGCTTCTCTTCAGTGTTTGTGTCTTAGTGACCTCTGACTATACAGAAGGCAGAAAAACAATGTCGAGAGAGAGATCTTTGGAAGACTGTGTGACAGACAGAAAGAAGAAAGAAAAGAGGAGGAAGAAAGAGAAGCATGAAGGAGGAGCAGAATATTCTTTTGGAAGGAAAATATTTCCAGATTGTGTCTGTTTTTTTAAAGATTCTGTGGGAGGATATCCAGGGACACTCCCCAATTCAAACCTTCGGCATTCCCTTCCGCAAATTCGGCTCTGGGAGCTGCCAGTGCTGCAGGACAGGCGTAGGCCCACATAGGGCTGGAACACACCTAAACTCACCCTCCCGCGTTTTGGAGATGAGCTCACCTCTGTTCTGTCAGGCATCCCGGAAGAACTACATGCATTTGGGTCAATTTGGATGGAGGAAATGAAGGATTATAGAGAAAGAAATCACCATTCCTCTTGTGTGTACTGGCAGGCTCAACCCTGAATGTACCTTTCTACTTTAATGTCTGAAGTGTGTTAATAAATCACAGTTAAGAATGGAACAGTGAAAACAAAACCCCAGGATAAAAGAAAAGGCAACATGTCCTGTGGACTGAATCCTGGAACAGTCCTGCTCAGGAGGGAGTAAGGTCCCATGTTTTCCTGACATGGGACCAGTGGAGACAGAAGACAGTCCGATTCTTCTCTGATTCCTTACAGTTTCATCAGCAGCCTTGATCTTCTTCAGAAAGGGAAGCTACCTTTTCTTCTCTTCCAACTAATGGGGGGTGAGGAGAAGGGAAAAGTAGGGGCAAGGGGAGGAAAAAGAAAAGAGTAGGGAGAAGGAAGGAAAGGAGAAGTGAAGGGAAGGAAAGAAAGAGGAAGAAAATCAAGGCATTGCCTCGATTATTGATTTACGGGTTATATCCTGTATAGCTTCATGGCTCATCCAGTTCAATCAGGGCTTCAAGATGCTGCATCCGCTGTTACAGAAGAATGGCTCACTTTCCGTGGCCGTCTCCTATAATTATTTTCCTAATTAGTTCCCTGGTCCTACACATTATTTCCCTAATTCTCACAACAAAATTAACTCATACTAGCACCATAGATGCCCAAGAAATCAAGACTGTCTGAACTATTTTACCTGCCATAAATTATCTTACCTTTCATTGCCCTCCCATCCCTATGTATTCTGTGCATAACAGATGAAGCTATTAACCCTTCTCTTACCATCGAAGCAATTGGCCACCAATGGTACTGAAGCTATGAATACATAGACTATGAAGAATTAGGCTTCAATTCTTATGTAGTCTCAGCAGCAGACTTATAGCCAGGAGAACTTTGACTCCTCAAAGGTGATAACTGAACAACCCTCCAAATAGATATCCCCATCCATGCATTAATCTCATCTGAAGACATTCTGCACTCATGAACTATCCTTTCATTGGGCCTCAAAACAGATGCAATCCCTGAATTACCTGCCTATGGAGAGAACCTCTGAGCGTTAAGATGATGAACCCAGATCCTCTCCCTCACTGCTCTGTGTCTGTGTCAGATGATTGCTCATGGGAGTTGTTAGTTATTAGTCACTCTGCTATTTCAGACATTTTTTTGCCTTTTAAACGTCAATTCAGGTTGACCACAGGGAAACTCTGTTATGACCAAAGGGTCAAGCTCCTGAGTGCCAGCACTGGCCCCCTTTCCTCCTGTCCCCACCCCTCTCCCTCTTGTCCTTGTTCCTGACTTCTCTTTAGTGGAGAGGTGTACAAAACAAATTCAGGGCTCATTTCATCTCTGTGCATCCTTGCTGCTCTCTCTTCCTTAAACAAGACCTTTTTCTCCCCTTTTCTTAGAACTGTATTTGGTGTGACAACAGTTTGAAAAGCGCCACCCATCCTCTCTGAGACCACAAGCAGCGCTGAAGGCAGTGAACCAAGACTTACAAACAAGGGTGTAGACCAGAGAACACACTGGGGCCAGAGGAGGAGAAAGCAAGATCTAAGCAGCACAGTTTCAAGTGCGAGGGGAGCAGAAAGCAGCCAGCTCTAAAAAAAAAAAAAAAAAAGAAGAAGAAGAAGAGGCAAAACCCAGAACTCAAACCTCATGAAACTATCACACGTTTCAAGCCTTTAAAAGGTGTTTTTACTGCAGATTTTACAGACTTATCACCTCGTCAACGGTTATGAACCCAAATCCTTGCAAACTGAACAATAGAGTCAGATTGGTCTCTCAGTCTCTGCATGTGAAGGGTCTCTAGGCTTTTCAGGACACCTTTAGGGTCAGGTTTTGTGAAATAGGTTGAGCCAGCTTTCTGGGGGCTGTAAGCAACCCTGGAGAAAATGGGCAGAGGGAAATAAAGGCATGCCAGTGTGCTTTTCCCAGTGGGGACCTGGCAGCGGCCAAAGCAGGAGAAGTATTAGATTCCCATCTTTTCATATCATGGAAGCCCATGATGGCGATGGGGTGCAGGGCTGACTAACCATCTTGAGGTCAAGAGGCGGCCCCTCAGGGATCTGAAGCTGTTTAGCAAGAGCTCAGGAGGGCCCATCTCCTTGTCCCTCAGGGAGAGCCCCTGGTGCTATAGCACACCCCCTGGAAGGGGCGGCCCTTGGAGAAATGTTAGAATGCTGGGTGAATTATTTTCTTCTGAAATTTCATCCAAAGTTTCAACAAGGCACCCAATAGAAGAGTTGTTAAGTACTGTGAGTGGGTGTGGTGGAGGAAGCAGAGAGGGGAAGGGGCAGCTCCGCTCTCACTGTATCTACTGCTCATCCTAGAGATGACCTAATGTCAAAAACTTTGCAAATGCCACCAGCTGCCTGTTGCATCCACGTGGTTCAGTCGTTGCTATTTACAGAGTAGTATAAATGCCCGGTGCTACTGTGACCTAGGGTGCTGAGTACCAATGTTCCTGGAAGCGCCCCTAGTAGTATTTCTTTCATTAGCTGGTAGTTAATAAAAACTTTATGCAAGAGTAACACGGTGTTGCTGATGGTAGGTATTATCTGATGATGATAATCCTGTCGAGTACTTGTTGGGCCAGATCACTTTGTGAGGGCAGAAGGTTGGTAACAACACTTGTCTTAAATGCAAGATTCTTTCTCTTTTCATCCACCCTCTCCCTCCTATTCAGCAATCCTTTATTCACCCTTGGACACATTTGTGCTCTGCATATGCTCTTGCACAATCCTGGGGTCTCATGGTTTACTTTATGATGACAATATTAATGTCAACAAAGCCACATTTTCCCTAAGACACTTGGGAATATGTGTGGCTTATCCTTCTGTTTTTCTTACGAAGTAAAAGGGCGCTCAGTGTGTCTGTCCTCACTTTACTGACATGGAGATTAAGGACAAGGAATCTAGGCGAACGGGCAGTAGGGCACGTGAAACATGGCAGGGTCTCCGGAGAAAGGGAACACACTTTCAAAGAGCCAGTGAGTCAAACTTGTGGGAACCCATGCCAGAAAGTTCTTACGGGGAAGGCTGAACTGTTCCATCTAAAGGAAAAGAACATACATTCGTTTAAACAAGCCCTGAAGTGCAGCTATCTAACAGGCTAGGTAGATGGGGTTGGGCGCAAAGGGTTTGCTGCGTTGCTGCTGATTTCTCAAGTCTTTCATTTTCTTTGCTGACCTCTGCAGTCCCACAGAACACAGTCCATGCATTAGACTTGCAGCCATAGGATCTGGGTCTTGTGTATTAGTTTTGAAGGGAGCATGCCCTGCTAGACTGCAATATCCTAGAAGACAAAGGTCAACCAAGACCTTCGCATGAGGCCTGATGGGAATCAGTGTTTCACAGACATTTTTTAAATGAATGATTTGATTGATTTCCAGTAGTTCTCTAGGCAAGAGTGATCAGAGACTTTAAAAGTTGGTATCAACGTGGAAGCGGCAGAATGGCACCTAAGAGAGTGGTGGGTCGTCACCAGGTCACAGCTGTCAGGATGATTGGAACACCCCTTTGCCGTACAGTGACCTTTGTTTTACCTCCCACTATTAGGCAGAGGAACCATCATCACACAGCCTGATTACGGTTTTTATGCTCAGGAGAACTTGTGCTGTCTTCCAAGAGCTGCAGCTCCCACGTTTTGGTAAGAGAGGGGCAAACAGACATTTTCTCACATCAACTAATCAGCTCATCCATGAGTTTTGCAGTTCAATCGCTGTCTTTACGTGGTGTTGTCTGCCAACGAATGGAATAGGGCATCTTCATATTTTATTGACAAAGACAAGACTTCCATAAAAGGATCCCTTTGAAAGCAGCTTGAAAAGAATTCCAAAGCAATGTGCTTATAATAATAAATGTTTCTCCACCACTTGCTTTCCAGCTCTTTTGTCTCAGGCTTCTGCTACTCTAGTTGTTTTTTTTTTTTTTTTTTTTTTTTTTTTGAGACGGAGTGTCACTGTGTTCCCAGGCTGGAGTGCAGTGGCGATGGCTCACTGCAACCTCCGCCTCTCGGGTTCAAGTGATTCTCCTGCCTCAGCCTCCTGGGTAGCTGGGATTACAGGCATGAGCCACCACGCCCAGCTAATTTTTGTATTTTTAGTAGAGATGGGGTTTCACCATGTTGGCCAGTATGGTCTTGATTTCTTGACCTCGTGATCCACCCGCCTCGGCCTCCCAAAGTGCTGGGATTACAGGCATGAACCACCGTGCACAGCCTGTATTTCTTTTTCCTAGTTTCTCTCCTGTTTTCATTTGCTAAAAGAAAATTGTGTAAGACACTTCATGGGAACATTGAAAACTGTTACGGGTTGGGGTTTATAAAGATTTGGTGAGAACAAAAAAATCCAGACCTTGCTTCTGGCATTTGCTGGGTGGTATTTTTTCACTGGTCCCTAACTCACAGAATAATCAGCTTTGGCAGCAATATTTAGTTCCCCTTTCTTTCTACATGCTGGGATGAGGGCATATGAGAACGGAACTTGCGGTAAAGACTACCTTGCCACAAGGGGACCCCACCCTGCTTACCTTCCGCTGGATCCACAGCAGTTGTAAATATGTAGTGAATGGTAACTGTGGGCTTCCTGTATTCTGTAGTGGACATTGCCACACCACCGTCTCCAGCGGAATGAACCAGAATGTAAAACGTATACCTCTTTTGAAATGCACTGAGGCAACACAGGATGACCACATTTTTTCTGTACTATATTGCACTCTTTTGCACAATGTGTCAGAACACAACGTTAGAAACCCACAAAAGAAGGAAACAGAACAATGGAGGTTGTTGGCTGGGCAGGCCGCAAGGTAAAGGGCAGAATAGTGAATGCCCCACCTCGTCGACATCCTCTGCCAGCTGCTATTCCTGGCTCCTGACCTCTGCTGTCTCTATTATCCTTTCCCGTCATCCATCCAGTCAGCCAGCCGGCATTTACTGGGCATCCTGTCATGCTGGCTGCTGGGGATACAGACTGTGAGTAGCATGCTGGTAAAAACTAAACGACTCGCTCTGAGACGGGAGCTGATTTGCAGCGCTTATTGATTTTCATAGAGCTGACACTCCCACCATGACTGATTTCAAGTTGCTAACATGACATCATCGAAGCAACGTGGGAAGAGAGGCGCAGTAGCACACCACTGCCCCCAACCAGATGCAATCGATGTGAATAACCTCCAGTGCACAGAAATAATACAATGCAGTAATGAGGAGCTGACGAGTTTTGAGTATTTATTAGCATTGTTTTAAGTGTGATTTAGCTCCGGGCACACTTACATATTTTAAGTCATAACTTTTAACAAACAGCTTACAACATTTCTCAAACTAACAACTGGCTCTCAGGAGCAGGTATGTGCTGACAGCACACCACTAGACAGAGAGAAACAATGTATGCTGTCTGCTTTACAAACGTCTTTTTTAAATCTAGAAAGAAAAACATACATTTGTAAAAAAGTAGTACATACAGTTGATGTGATAATACAGTAGGAGAAAGTGCTGGGCGTAGAATTAGTGGGAAGCACAGTGAGACCCTGCTATGCACTGAATGCATCTGTCTCCCCGAAATTCACATATGGAAGTCCTGATTCCCATCGTGGCTGTATTTGGAATAAGGAAGTATTAATTAAGGTTAGGCTGGGCACGGGGGATCAAGCCTGTAATCCCAGCACTTTGGGAGGCCAAAGTGGGCGGATCACAAGGTCAAGACAGACCATCCTGGCCAACATGGTGAAACCCCGTCTCTACTAAAAATACAAAAATTAGCTGGGCATGGGGGCGCACACTTGTAGTCCCAGCTACTCAGGAGGCCGAGGCAAAAGAATCATTTGAACCTGGGAGGTGGAGGTTGCAGTGAGCCGAGATGGTGCCACTGCACTCCAGCCTGGCGACAGAGTGAGACTCCATCTCATAAATAAATAAATGAATTAAAGGTTAAACGAAGTCATAAGTGTGGGGCCCTGATCTGCTAAGATAGAAGAGATGCTGGAGAGCCCCTTCTTTCTCCAGGCATCTGCACCACAGAAAGACCGTGTGAGGACATAGTGAGAAGGCAGCTTCCTGCAAGCCGGAAGAGAGCTCTCACCAGAAACCAAATCAGCGGAGATGGGGTTCAGGCCATGCTACTGCACAATGTGGTACCTTGGCATTTGAGAAAACAGGAGAAGCAGGAAGGTCACTCTCCCTTTCCCTCATCCTTCTCCTGAGGTGGGTCACAAGGCTTTCATTTGAGAAGTACCTTCCCTATGCCTGGAGAAATGGTAGGCCCTTATTTCTTAAGACACGGGACACAGCGAGGAATCGGAACAGGCAGTCCTCAAAACGCTCCCCCAGTTAATGACCATTAGATGTTCCCTTTGTCCAATCATACATCTGCAGGACCGTCTCCTCCTCGTCAAACCTAAGCATAAAAACACACATGCTTCTTCTCCATTTCAGTTTTTATTTCTAAAGGCTCTCGTGTCACATAAAACTTACGTTCATTAAACTTGTCTGCTTTTCTCTTGTTAATCTCTCCCTTATTATTGGAGCCTCAGTAATGAACCTAGTCATGGGAAAGAAAGATAAGCTTTCTCTTTACAGCTGGACCACTGATGATCGTGGACTTCTAGCCTCAACAATCGTGATGAAATACATTTCTGTTGCTGGAGCCACCGGAGCTATTTTGTTCCGGCAGCCCAAGCTGACTAACAGAGCCGTAGCATAAAATGACCTTGAGAGCAGGCTGGTAACTCGGACTCAACAGAAGCACCTGCGGCTGCTCAGAGGCATGCCGGTTTGCACTTAGCATGTGGCCCTCCCTATTCACAAACATTTTCTCTTCTAGCTGCAGTAGTCATTGTCTTCAGATGCAGACACCCTGGCAGTTATCGTCCTTGGCAGAATGTTGACTGGGGAAGGGAGAACTCTAACGTCGTAGCCCAAGATGAGAAGCACAGCAGGGCAGGTGAGGACTGGTGACTAGTGACCGCCACCACAACACAGGAGCCACACCTAGTGAGCTGTGTAGACCCAGTCTCTCTCTCTTTTTTTAGACAGGGTCTCACTCTGTTGCTCAGCTTGGATGCAGTGATGTGATCACGGCCCAGTGCAGCCTCAACCTCTCAGGGTTAAGCATTCCTCCTGTCTCGGCCTCCCAAGTCGCTGGGACCACAGGCATGGGTCACCACGCCCCAGCTAACTTTTTGAATTTTTTGTAGAGACACAATCTCATTATGTTGCCCAAGCTGGTCTCGAACTCCTAAGCACAAGTGATCCTCCTGCCTTGGCCTCCTAAAGTGCTGGGATTATAGGTGTGACCCACCTCACTCAGCCTTAGGCCCCAGTCGTTAATGGTGGCTTCTTGTGGCAAAGAAATAAACAGCCCAAATTGGATGAATAACATTTTCTCATTCCCAAGAGTCCTAGCATTGATAATGAAATTCATGCCCTTTAGAATGAGAAAGACTTTGAGAGTCTTGAACATTTTGGTGGCTGGGCAGCACTTACGGTATTCTTCCTGATGTGGTACGTACAGACACGAGCACTCAGTAAAAA